CTGAATTTGTCAAATGCAAATGGACTAGACATTGTTGATGTATTTATTGCTTATATATATTGTATATAGTTATTGTACTTATTGTATATAGTTTTTTATATTAGTTATAAATTTTTTTATTAGACAAAAAAGGGGGAAATTTGGTGATATTTTATTTGTGCAACCCAATAAAGTTTATCTGAGGATCAGAGGAAAAAGCCAGCCACTATATTAAACATAGAAATCAGACAATGGTAGCACATGCCTTTAATCCTATCATTCGTGAGGCAGGGATCTGTCTGGATCTCTGAGTTCAAGGCCACACTAGGAACAGAGCCTTAAATTCCAACACTAGTTAACCATAAAGGTTCAGAGGTCTGTACAGACAGACAGGAAGTGACAGAGCTAGGCAGGAAAAGGAAGTGATGATGTAGCTAAAGAGAGACAGCAAATGAGATAGCAGAACAGAAAGGCATATAGGCATGGGTATACAGGAAGTAGGGCTCCTTTGGAAGCTGAGGGTCGGTAAGGTGAGGTTGGCTTGTGGCTTTTCCTATTCCTCTGATCTCAGGTTTTAACCCCGGTATCTGGCTCTGGGTTTTTTATTTAATAAGACCATTTAGAAATTTGTCTACATTCATATCTAGAATAAAACAAAAATCCTGCAAGAAAAAAAATGCATTAAAAATGGGCAAATATGCTGGAAGGGGTAGTAGTCCATGTCTGTAATCTTACCACTTGGATTGCTGTGACAGGAAGATAAGATGATGCAGGTCAGCTTGAGCTATATACACAGTCTCAGATTCCACTGTGTGTGTGTGTGTGTGTGTGTGTGTGTGTGTGTGTGTGTGTGTGTGTGTCCGTCCGTCCGTGTCCTGCTCATGAAAAGGGGCAAACACTGGAAGAGTGGCATGTAGTTAGGAAGCACATTGAAGGTATTCAGCAACACCTCTTACCTGGGAATGGAGCTGCTGTTGACATAAGAGGCCACCATGCAGCTTCCAAGCAGCTAGTGCTTTTAACCACTGAGCCATCTGGACAGTGTTGGTGAGGATGTGGAACAACTGACATTTCTGTGGTTTTGATTATGGTAGAGACAGGAATGAATAAAATCTGGAAAACTATCCAGTGTGTTGCCAAAGTTACCAGTTAAATGTTGCTGAGTAATAGGCTGCCCACATTCAGTGGTTTAATCAACAGTAATGAATGGTTGAGTTCTGTGGGTCACTTGAGTGACCTTCTCCTGGGCATTCTGGTTCATTATTCATGTGGCTGTGGTCAGCAGATGTATGACCGGTTCTATAATGGGCTCACCAGTGGGTGGAGGACCTCAGCTGGGACGGCCAAGTCCTGAGATTTTCATCCAAGGCTACTAAACAGTGTAGGTGCTCTCCGAGATTTGAGAAGGAATTAAATTTCAAGACCCTGAAAGTTACACATCACATTCATCATACTCTGTTCATCAAAACAAACCACATAATTAATCTCAGTCACTGTTGGAGGAAGGCTTATCGTAGGTCAAGGATGCTGAACTATATACATTTACACACACACACACACACACACCCAAGACCCAAGGTAAAAAGCTTACCACCAGTAGTAGGCATCCCCTGTGACTTTGGGGGCGCGTCTGAGCTCTAGCTTCTATGTCAGACTTTTTGTTACTGTGTCAAAATTACTTCATAGAAACAATTCAAAATTACTTTATAGAAGCAATTCAGAAAAGTTTTATTGTGATGCGGTTTTAGGAGTTCCAGCCTAAGGCATGAGGAAGCAGAGAGATTACAGCCAGGAAGCCGAGGGAGAAAATGCTGTGTTTGCTGGTTTTTTCCTTCTCTCTCCTCTCCCGTCTGGGCCCCTAGCTGAGGGTATTACTGCCCACATTCAGAGCAGGTCCTCTGCTCTTAACTATTCCTCCTAAACCTGCCTTTACAGATACACCTCAGGGGTACTTTAGAAATCGCTGAGGTCAGCCGGGCGGTGGTGGCGCACGCCTTTAATCCCAGCACTCGGGAGGCAGAGCCAGGCGGATCTCTGTGAGTTCGAGGCCAGCCTGGTCTCCAAAGTGAGTTCCAGGAAAGGCGCAAAGCTACACAGAGAAACCCTGTCTCGAAAAACCAAAAAAAAAAAAAAGAAATCGCTGAGGTATTTCTCAACACACTCTGGTTCCAGTTATAATTTATACTTACTGTTTTTATTTTAGGGTATTTATGTCATCCTCTGCCAGAGTACCTAGTCTTGAAAGCTATTAGTATAAAATGCATAATGTTTTCAGTTATGTCAGAAATTACTGAACCTAATCTATCTGATTAGATTGGCTCAAATATATATTAATCTTAATGTTTTTATAGCCTTTGATATAGCTTGACACTATATATCAGTTTCTATGAGGGACTGCCCAACATGGTTTAAGGAGTAGAGTTACACAGGTTTTGGGAATCATTAGCTGTGGAGCCAGGAAGGAGCCATGACTGCATGTGCTTTGAGAATGTCTCAGCATCTCCGTTGAGAATGGTGGAGATGAAGAAGGAAAGGAGAGAAGAATGGCATCCCCTTCTGACCTGTGTCCATGTTCTTTAAAGTACAGTTGGGCTTCAGTGGCAGTAGCGTAACTGTTAATGATGAAACTTCACGTTTTCTAATTATGGTGTTTCTTTTTAGGAGCAGACATTAAAGACAAATTAAAATGTTATGACTTTGATGTGCATACAATGAAGACACTAAAAAACATCATTTCACCTCCGTGGGATTTCAGGGACTTTGAAGTAGAAAAACCGACCACAGAGGAAGCAGGACTTGCACCTCTGGAAAACGCCAATAAAACTCCAGATTCCAGGCCTTCCTTGGAAGAAACCTTTGAAATTGAAATGAATGAAAGCGACATGATGTTAGAGACATCTATGTCAGACCACAGCACTTAACTCAAGACATTGGTCCCGGACCTACCCCCCCACCACCACCCCACACCCTGCCACGTGCTATGTAGGTCAGTATTCCCTTGTATCCGTGCTAGTCTTAAGAATTTCCCGCTTCCTAATGTGAATCCAAACTACATCTCTATGTTGAGGACCAGTGGCCTGAATTAAGAGATGGGATAGCACACTTTGACAGCAGATGTTTGCTGATCTTGTGAACCTACAAAGTAGTCATACATTAGAATAAAGATAGCAAACTGTTCATTGTGTCTTTTTCAGAATAAACTCATACTTTGAAATAATTTTTTGAGAAGTTTCTAAGATAGTAGAGTGTATAGTTACCTTTCTGTTGCTGTGATAAAATCCTATGATCAGGGCAACTTACTGAATGAAGAAAGCTTATTTCTTACAGTTTCACAGGGCTGAGTTTTATTGAGACAGGGTTTCTCTGTATAGCTTTGGAGCCTGTCCTGGAACTCACTCTGTAGACTAGGCTGGCCTCAAACTCAGAGGTCCACCTGCCTCTGCCTCCCTGAGGCTGGGATTAAAGGCGTGCGCCACCATCACTCGCTTCCCTGATAGTCTTTATGACCCTGTGATACTTCATGAACTCCTCTATCCCCTGCATTTCTCTCATTGGTATCTTTATGTCCCTACAACAACTTATTAAGCTCTGAGCACTCGGTGGCTTTTCCAGCCTCAAACACCATACACTTCCACAATCCTCCAAATAACATGGTCAGGTCTGTCAGCAATCGCCCACTATCTAGTACCAATTTCTATCCTAGCTTTCTGTTGCTGTGATAAAATACTAAGAGCAACTTGCGGCAGGAAGAGATTTATTTGCTCTTGCAGCTGTTAAGTCAACAATCCATCATTGAGGGGAAGTCAGAGCAGAAATTCTAGTAGGAACCTGGAGGCAGGATCTGCAATAGCGAGCACAGAAGAATGCTGCTTATTGGCTTATTTATTACAGCCGACAACCTGCTCTGGGTGGAACTGCCCACAGTGGGTGGACCCTCCCACATCAGTCATTAGTCAAGAAACTGTCTGCCTAGGCCAGTCTCATGAAAGCAGCTCCTCAGTTCAACTGAGTGATTGCGTCAAGTTGATATAAACTAATTAAAATAATTGGCAGTTTACGGGACAGTTAAGAGGGTGTTAGGTCAGACACACAGATGGTCAATCAATGGCTCTGTTAAGGGGGCTAAAGCGAGCCTGATAATTTTGGCTCTGAGTTTATAATCCAACTTTGTTTACTTGTGAAGTTACTATCCATCAGCTCTGTACAATCTAACATCTGGGTGTGGGGGTTTTGTTTTGTTTTTTTCCTGACAACTCGTCTCCACATTTTTATCAGCCTCTCAAACACGCCTTTTCTTCCTAATAAGGTTAACAGGCCAGCATAGCTTTTGGTCAGCATAACTGGCTACTCCAAACTGAGCAGGTTCAAACAGTGGGCTCCGAATCCTAGGCTTCCTCGGAACCATGAAATACTGGAGACTGCCCCTGCTCATGGGTTTTATAGAAGGCTGATGTTTGAGGCCTTGTACACTGTTTTTGAGTCTCTGGCCTATTTAAAACGTCACATTTCAAGAGTGTCAATATCAATACAGGCTTCACAATACAATCTGTAAATACATTTCTGAAATTTTCTCAGGAGAAAGGTGCTGTAACTAAAAACTACAGCCAACGGCACGTCAAATTTGAGCACCTAGGAAAACTGTTGCTTGTTGGTCTGTAGAAGAAAAATGTTTTAGTTTCGGTGCTGCCCCGGTGAGACTGAGTGGGCCAGAAATGGCTCTGGGTTCCGGGGGCCTCCCAGCCCCAGACTCTCACGGATGCATGCCATCCACATCGCAGGTCAGCAGCCCACGGAACGTGCGTTTGTCTTCCGTGCACGGCGTGACAGTGTCGACTCCCTACCGTCGCTGTCGGAGGATGCCGAGCATGTTTTTGGAAACGTGCAACCCTGGGGCACCGCCAGCCTTCAGGGCCCGCCAGGCTGCCCACCCCCGGCGCAGGGCAGCATTGGCACCGCCCCTTCCCCCCGCCCCACCCCGCGGCAGGCCCGGGGAGGGGACGCGGGACACCGAATGCCAAGGGAGGGGCTGCCCAGTCCTCGCGAGGCTTCGTTCTCGCGGTGGAGGCGGGCGGGCGGGCGGCCGGTGGGGATGCGCTCGGAAGAGGGGGCCGGAGGCCTGGGTGAAGCCCTTCCTGCGCGGGCTCCCAGCTGGAGGGAGAAACTGTCGGGCCCGGAGGCGCCGTTCCGCCGCGAGTCGCCGCGGAGGGAGTCCGCGGTGGCGCCGGCCCCGGCCTTCAGCGAGAGCGGGGCGGGCAAGCCTCGCGAGGAGAAGAGGACGGCCCTGAGCAAGGTGGGGGCGGAGCCTCGCAGCCTCCCGCGGGGAGACTGGTCCAGAGCCCGCCGCGGGGCGGGGCCAGCCGTTCTCGCGAGAGCACGGCTGGGAGCCCGAGGAGGGCGGGGCTTGAGGGGAGAGGGGCGGTGCGCTGGCCTTAGGGGCGGGACCTCGGCCGCGGCGTTGCTATGGGGATGCGGAACGCCGCCTCCCAGGCCGGCTAGAGTCCGGGAGCGGCGGTGGTCGCGCTTGGCGGGCCCCGAGCGGGCGGGCGGCAGCATCTAAATGACGAGCCATGCTCATCCCAGGTGGTCCTCCGGCGTCTGCCCCCCGGCCTCACCAAAGAGCAGCTGGAAGAGCAACTGCGCCCCCTGCCTGCGCACGATTACTTCGAGGTGGTGGCTGCGGACCTCAGGTGAGGACCTGCCGGGGGACCCGGGTGATGGACTGAGGACCCGGTGGCGCTCGGGATTGCCATCTGTCCCCCTTCCAGCTGTCTGTGCACGCCCGTTATGGATGGGCATGACGTTGTCACTCTATACAGGACCGTGGTGCGCCGGTGGCGCCGCACGTTGTGTCCTTTGTGTTTCCAGACCTCCCTCCACATAGCTTTTAATAAATTGTATGATGAGAAAAACCAGAGTGCATCCTTTATACACGCGAGTCTGGAGTGTTTTCGCTAGTGAAGGACCAGGAATTGAGCCCGGAGAAGTGGATTTGCCACCGTGTTCCTGTGGGCAGCACCACCCGGTCAGACAGGTTCTCTGTCTGTGGTGATTGGAGCAACTGGGGCTGGCCTAACCAGCAGATGTCAGTGCCATTGAGATTCGGGATTTTTCACGATGTTTTTATATACTTTTATGTTTTCGTTTATGTCATATAGAAATTCCTTTGGGATACCTGTTTTTGTAAAAAGCAAAAAAGAAAGAAAAAATCGTCTTCAAATAAAAATACAAGTAGTTATTAAACGGGTATCATTTGAAAACCACAGGTGGTTTTCGGATGGCTGAAGTTAAAAAAAACAGTTAAAACAACAGGGAGTGACTTAGGGTACATTCCCAGCCCCTCCTTGTAACTTGCACCCTCCCTATGAACAAACTTCTCTGACCTTTAATAGTCTCTGTGAAATGGAATTGAAGAGTTCCTACCTGTGAAAAGAAGTGTGACTGAGAGGGAGAATGGTTTCATTCTTTTCTAAGTACCAACGCACCTGAAACTGGCCTACCCATCTGAAAAGAACCTCATAGTACTATATCCTCATCCATGAAGGAGCCAAGATTAGTCTTCTTCTTATTCTTGATGTACCAGGAATGACTAAAAATGTCCAAATGAGCCGGGCGGTGGTGGCGCACGCCTTTAATCCCAGCACTCGGGAGGCAGAGACAGGCGGATCTCTGTGAGTTCGAGGCCAGCCTGGGCTACCAAGTGAGCTCCAGGAAAGGCGCAAAGCTACACAGAGAAACCCTGTCTCGAAAAACCAAAAAAAAAAAAAAAAAAATGTCCAAATGTCCATGGCCGTTGGTTGACTTCTGAAGTCTAGTATTTGTCTTTAGAGACAGGGTTTCTGTGTAGCCCTGGCTGTCCTGGATCTCACTCTGTAGACCAGGCTGGCTTTGAACTCACAGAGATCTGCCTGCGTCCACCTCCCAAGTGCTGGATCTAGTCACCACCGCCAAGCTGAAGTCTAGTAATTTAATCTTAGTTATGACAGTAGAGATGCTCCTGAGTAATCAAGGCTTCACTTCATGGTTGGGGTTTTGTTTTGTTTTGTTTTTTGCTAAAGAATATTCAGATTGGAGCTGGGCAGTGGTGGAACATATCTTTGGTCCCAGCACTCGGGAGGCAGAGGCATGTGGATCTCTGAGTTCTAGGCCAGCCTGGGCTATGGAGTGAGTTTCAGGACAGCTAGGGCTACACAGAGAAACCCTGTCTCAAAAAAAAAAACAAAGACAAAAACAAAAAGACTATCCAAATTGTTATAATTAGCTGAGAAGTGATTATTTGGCATAAAAAGTATTTGCTATGTTAATAAAAGATAAATAAGACAAAACTGAAGGAGTCCTGCAGTTTTACTAACACTTTTATTGTTATCTCATATTTCAGTCTCTATCCTCATCTCTACTCAAGAGCATACATTAATTTTCGGAACCCTGATGACATCCTTCTGTTCAGAGATCGTTTTGATGGATATATCTTCATTGGCAATAAAGGTTAGGGTGTGTGTGTGTGTGTGTGTGTGTGTGTGTGTGTGTGTGTGTGTACACTCTTCTGTGTGTATAGACTCCTCTGTGTGTGTACACTTCTGTGTGTGTATATACTCCTCTGTGTGTGTATACTCCTGTGTATATATGCCTCTATGTATGTATACACTTGTTATCTGTGTGTGTGTGTGTGTGTGTGTACACTTCTCTGTGTGTGTGTACACTGGTGTATCTGTCTGTGTGTGTACACTCCTCTGTGTATATGTACACTTCTGTGTCGTGTTGTAATTATGGAGATCAGAAGGCAGCTTGTCAGAGTCAGTCCTCTCCTTTCGGTGTGGGTCCCAGGGATCTTCCTTAGGTCACCAGGCTTGGTAACAAGTATGGCTGCCCACTAAGCCATCCTGCCGGCCCCAGCCCCTTCTTGTCCCATGTTCATTCTGCACAGTTGAGGTGAGCCCAAAACATATTCCAAGTAAGTTCGACCTTTAACACCAGAGGAGTGCATTACTCACAAGCTTTAAAATGATAGAGCTCAGTGGGTTTAATTCTGAGGCAGAGGGTTCCATGTGCTAAAGTCTATTAACGAGAACATTTCTTTACATGTTCATCTTCCTTCCCATATAACAATAAAATCAGTTCCTGCTGCTTCCTTTTTCACCTTTTTGTTTGAAACAAACCTTACATAGATCAGTACATGTCCTTGAAGTTTCCAAGCCCTAAAGCCCTGTATCTCTTTTAAGCAATTTCCTTGAGTCTATATAACAGTTTGATAGTTGAATTGACATCTTAACATTAATTCTTTTTTATTTATTTTTATTTTATGTGTATGTATGTGTCCATGAGTGTATGTACATATAAATGTGTGTGCGGGTATCCTCAGAAGCCAGAAGAGGGATCAGATTCCCTGGAAGTGGAGTTCCAGGTGTTTGCGAGCCACCTAATGTGAGGTGCTTAGAACCAAATCCAGGTCCTGTGCAAGAACAGCAAATGCTATCAACCACTGAGCTCTCTCTAGCCTATAACACCTTAAAATTAAAATAGTTGATTATAACAACAACAAAAACCCAAAACAACAGCAACAATAACTGAGTGGTGATTCTTCCTTCATAAATTATTTGGAAGTCATATGGAGTAGCTAGTTTCCTCCCTTTTCAAGGGAGTGGTGGAGGTCGTGAGTGAGTCCTCAGGGCCACATCATGTCAGAGTGTTGCTTCTTTGCCTCCTGCTCTTCCCAAAGCAGTTACCTTGACGACATCATCCTTTGACTCCATGTAAGTTAGATCATTGTTTTCCAAAGTGAATGTAGTAGAGTTTCACGGTCATCTTTGGACTCTGTCTCCATAAAAGGCCTGGAGTATCCTGCAGTGGTGGAGTTTGCTCCCTTCCAGAAGATTGCCAAAAAGAAGCTGAAGAAGAAAGACGCCAAGACTGGAAGCATTGAAGATGGTGAGCCCTTTTCTGAAGCGGAATTATAAACCCACAGATGAACTGTGCTGATCAAACGTTGCCTGCAGTTGGAGAGGGGGGATATATTTATTCATTCCTTCTGTTTTAAATTTACAGATCCAGAATATAAACAGTTTCTGGAAACATACAGTTTGGAGGAAGAAAAAACCGGTGCTAGTCCTGAGACACTCCTGGGAGAGATCGAAGTGAGGACAAGAGAACTCCTCGGTCTGTTTGCTCGTTTCTTTATTGAGATGCTTACTAATAGAATATATATATTTAATTCTCCTTTCTTCAAGATGAGGGTGAGATTTCTTTCTGTTACAGGCTTGATAGAAACAGTATTTTCTACTTTCGACAAAAGAGTGATAGGGCAGGGAAATAGTTCTCAGCCTTTGTTGGTAAGCATGATGTGTTTAGTGGTCGTATTTGAAATGATGACGCTTTGGAAGACAGATGTGTGCTCTTGGCTGGGTCAGAGAGGAACGTTTGTCACAGTTTTGACTGTCAGCAGCCACGAGAGGACCTCGGGAGCCTCTGGAGACAAGACCTGCTTTGCAGCTTCGGCAGAGCAGCAAGCCTTCCAAGGAAGCTAAGCAGTCAGTCTGTGCATAAGCGCAGCCAGCAGCCGGGGTCTGCTTGAACTCCATTCACGCTTCCTCCTAGAGTGGAGTGGCTAGAAATGTTTGTCTCCCATAATAGGCCCCAGAAAATGCACATGCAGACATGGAGCTCCTTTATTTTTCACCAGGCCCACCCGGTTTAGTCTCAGACGCACCTGAATGTTCCATTTCCGACTGGTCTCAGGATCAAAAACCTCTTCTCAAGGGGCTGGAGGGATGGCTCGGAGGTTAAGAGCATCAGTTGCTCTTCTAAAGGACCCAGGTTGGATTCCCAGCCCCCAGATGGTACCTTATTAACATCTCAGGTATAATTGGTTCGTTAGTCTCCACATGAATTCCCTGCTCAGTTTCCTCCCCCACTCCCATAGTTGAAATACATTGTCATCTTTGTAGCTGCAGGAAAGAGACAGTAGAAATTGAGTATCTAGTGAATGAACAGACCACAGAGTCCGGAGCTATAGAAACAGAGTGTAAGCTCGTATAATTGAGAGATGTAAGAAACCCTAGTGTTGAGACTGGAGACCCGGATTCCTGTCAGGGAGTGGATCATTGCTCTGTCCACAGTGGGTGGGGAATGCCAGAAAGAAGCAGGGACTGGCTGATGGCTCTTGCTCCCCAGGGAAGGCTGTTGTATTATGATGAGTGTATGTTTTAGAGGTCAAACATTGGGGGAGGGGGGAATGGTAGACAGATTAGTGAGGGGGCTGAGGGGTAGAGAGAACTAAAGACCAGAGATCTAAGACGAGAAGATGGCTAGTTTTATATATATATATATATATATATATATATATATATATATATATTTGCATGTGTAATATGTACATATATAACATATACATAGAGAAGGTGGAGAAAGATACTTTGGGGGCAAAAGTCAAGATCTGATTTCAAAACTTGTTATACTTACAAAGTTAGAAAAAGCAAATTAGGTATTTTTAAAACTCACCTTCCAGCCCCCTCCTCCATCTTTCTTGGTCTGTTTAAGTGTTTCTTGTTACAGAGTCTGTCACTACAGGCCACTTTTGAGATATCTTTTTGTGGGTCAGATCTAGTTCTGTTCCCGCAGAGGGCCTCTGTCCTTGTCATCTTGGTGCCCGGTATATTGCCAGTAGTGCTTACATATTGACACAAATGCCAGGCTGACTCTTAGCCCTCAGGTGAGCGGTTCACTCACCCCAGACATGGACGCTGGAGGCTGCTGTAGTTGCTGCTCTGCTTTTCAGTTTCAGCCTTCACCACGTAATTGCTAGGAGCTGCCAATATTTTCTTAACTTTTAACCTTGTCTCATGAACAAGCCTAACAAATAAGGTTTGAATAAGATCATAATAACTTGGGAGCTGGAGAGATGGCTCAGAGGTTAAGAGCACCGACTGCCCTTCCAGAGGTCCTGAGTTCAATTCCCAGCACCCACATGGTGGCTCACCACCATCTGTAATGAGATCTGGCGCCCTATTCTGTATACATAATAAATAAATAAATCTTTTTTAAAAAAAGATCATAATAAACTGTCATTGGCAGGAGGTCTTTGGAATGGATGTACCTAGGATTAGCTCTGAGACTTGGTACTTCATAACCTCAGCAAACCTCATCACCTCCTTGAGCCTTGTAAAATGTGATACAGTAATTGGGGAAGGAGGAGGAAAGTGTATCCATGTTACTAAACTTTATCTTGGGATCCACTGTTGCCAAAGTATCTCTTTGAAATGAATTCATTTCTGCCAGATTGATTACATCCATGGCCACAGCACCTGCCATAAAGTGTGGGCCTCTGACCATGTCTACTCTCGAGACTGAGTACCATTTGATCTGTCAAGTCAGGGTATCAGAAGTCCTTGGTTTGAATTAGGGGCCCACGTCTAGTGGCTTTCTCACAAATTACTACTAGTTCCTGGACCTCACAATTCTGGAAATGTCATGCTAACTCTCAGGTGTATCCAAGGATTCTTCACAGTCCCATTCAATCTGAGATCTTGAAGATTTGCAGAGCAGACCCAGACGATTCCCACCTTCTCACCATGTCCTTACATGTGGAGGTCATGGAACTCCTCCCTTTGGGAGCTGGTCCCTCTGGTGACAGACACCTGCAGGCCTGTAGCATGCCAGGGCACCTGACATACCAATCAGATATGAGGAGTGAGGAGTAGGAGAGGTGATGTTGAGGTAGAAGCTGTGGGTGTGCTCTTTAGACAAGTGCAATGGGTGCTTTTGGTGGTCAGCAGTGCCGTAAGGAATCATTTTCTAAGCTTTAGTATTTGCAGTTAATGTCACATTATTCTGATTTTACTGAGTATAAAAAGATTGAATATCTGAAATGATAAGGACCAGAAATGTTCTGTTTGGGACTTTGGGATGTTTATATATCTGTAATAAATATTGTGGAGATGGGACGCAAGTCTAGAGATAAAATGTGTTTTCTGTGTATTTTAAGCACACAGTGCGAAGGCGGTTTTGTACACTTGTAATGCATCTCTGACTGACACATCTCATCACATGTAGACTTTCCCACTGGGTCATGATGTCAGTGCTCAAAACTTTGGTTGACGGCATTTCAGATTTGGGATTTTTGAACTAGATTGGCATGTATTAAAGGCTCTGTGTTATCGGGCTGGAGAAATGGCTGGGTGGTTAAGAGCACTTGTTGCTTCTTCAGAGGACCCCAGCAGTTCCCAGCACCCACATGGCAGCTCACTACCATTCCTAACCAGTTCCAGGGGATCTGACATCCTGTTCTGACCTCCACAGGCACCAGGCATAAACAGGGTACATAGACATACATGCAGACACACACTCATACAGATAGAGTAAAACTAAATAAACATTAAAAGAAAAAAACATTAAAAACTGGAAAAGCAAAAACTGACAATTTGCATAGCATCCAAGTAAGTATGTAAATGCTATTTATGATTCTTCAGAAGCATAAAAAGATATTAGTAATATTTGAGAAGCTTAAGATTATCACACACATACTACTTTTTTTTTTGCCAACTATGTTAGCAATATTAATGACTGCTTGAAGAGGAAGAATCTTGTGTCTTTTTCTTCGCTGACGCCGGTGCCCCCGTAAACAACCGCTCACCTATAGTCCTATAAACAGCCCTAGTTAAACTCACTGGGTCACCACACCACAAAATGGAAGGTAGACCGTGGAAGTCGGAGGGTTAGCTGGGAAGAGAAAAGGGACTGCAGGACTGGGAGGGGTCAAGGGCTGGTCATGGAGTGTAAATGTGATCGAAATACCTTGTATACATGTATGAAAGTGTCAAAATGACCTATTATTGTCTATAATCGGTATATGCTAATAAAAGGCTTAAAAGAATGGCATGCCTACTATGTGCAGAATTATCAGTACCTCCAAATTACTTACATTTGTCATAATAAAATAAGAATGCCCCTGGGTACAGCGCATACCCATGTAAATTTTAGAGATAGTATTCTTCCCCTAATTACTTTAATACTAAATTGGAAACAAGAATATAAAATAATCTCAATTTAGAAGTGATTTGTGATATATTACAATTTTTGTTCTTTAGCCAGAAGAACCACACCTCTTTTGGAATATATTAAAAATAGAAAACTAGAAAAGCAGGTGGGTGACGTTTTACCTGATGACTATCTGTCCTGTGCTCGCTGGTTCCATCCACAAAATCTACATACGTGTTTGTCTACACCTTCAGAGACTTCGAGAAGAAAAGCGCGAAGAGCGGAGGAGGAGGGAGCTGGAGAAGAAGCGTTTACGGGAAGAGGAGAAAAGGAGAAGGAGAGAGGAGGAGAGATGTAAAAGGAAAGAGGCAGATAAGCAGAAGAGAACCGAGAAGGAGGTGAAGATTAAGGTAATACTGGGGAGACCTTTCTTCTTTCCCTGCAGTGTAGTTCTCTTAGAGTGATGAGGCCATCTAAGTATTCAGCTAATCCAGCCCTTCATCAGCGCTTTATACCCATTCTACAGCAGTGGCCTCAGACGTCCCCCTAGGCTCAGGCGTCCTTACACAGCCCGCGGGTGCTGAGGCGGCGGAAGGCTTGAGGCTCGGGCCTCCCAGTGTGGAATGGGTCACAGCACCCAATCCCTGCCTTAGATTTTCCAGAGAACTTCCGGCAGGGCTTCTCCATGTCCTGCCTCAGCAGCTCAGAACTCGGACTCACACCCAAGGCTCAGCACTAGGTACCACCCATCACTTTCACCCTCATGTCCAGTTTTCCCCATGACTGATGCATCATTCACATTGATTGAAGAGATTTTCTCCTCAATATTGGTCAGAATTGGAATCAACCCTTCTTAGGACTTTTTTTAAACTGAGATTTCAGCCCGGCATGGTTTCACCTTACCCCACAGAAGATTTAAGGTACTTATTAGGGTTCTGAAGAACTGTATAATATAAAGAAAGTGTCAGCTATCATTAACTGTAACTTGTAATACATAAGGAACATGTCTATGGTTAGCAAAGTCTGTGTGTATGCACCACATAGTGCCTGGTAACTGCAGAGGCCAGAAGAGGACAGTGGATGCCCTGGAGCTGGAGTTAATGATGGTTGGGAGCCACATGTGGGTGTTAGCCCCTAATCCAGGTCCTCTTCAAGAGGAACAGGTGCTCTCAACCACCGAGCCAGCTCTCCAGCCCCATGAGATCTGTTGTTTTAAAAACGGCATAGTATCATAGTAGCAGTGAAGTCAGGGAACCTGACCAAAGCTGTAAGAGCAGAAGACTAATGGACTGGGATAGTCTTCACAAAGCTCACAAGGGGTAGAGATGTAACTCAGTCCATAGAGTACTTGCCTAGAATGGGTTAAGCTGTGGTTTTCAATCCCAGTACCACATAAGCCAGGTGTTTTAGCGTAAGCCTGTATTGCTAGCACTGAGAGACAGAGTCAGGGGGCTCAGCAGTTCAAGGCTGGGCTGGGTTAGATACAAGAACTTGTCTCAGAAAAGCAGAAGGGCGGGGCTGGAGAGATGCTCGTTGGTTAGCTAAGAGCAGGAGAGATGTGGGTTCCTGTGGTGGAGGCTTTCGCTGCCACATAGACAAGAATTAGAAGACAAAGAAGGAAGACATGGGACATGACAGAGCTTCCAAGGGCTTGTTTCGAATGACCTAGTTCCAAAGTAATACCTCTAGCTGGAGACCAAGGGTTCAACACATGAATTTTTGGGAAAAGTTAATACTCAGACTGTAACAGTGACTATGAGATTAACTTGTATAGTGACTTCATGTAAGGACACTTTAATGTTGGCACAAGGACGAAACCACCTAATAAAGTGTTGCTCAGAATTAGGCTCCATTAGCAGGGTCTGTGTGTACTAACGTAAATCAAAATTGGATCACTGTGGAGACCCCCAGAGGTTTCCTAGTGAGATCTGAGCTTGCTTTACCCAGCAGGGCTGCACAGGGGAATGATTTGACCACTGGTGTGGTTACCAGGTGTTTGGAAGGGGCTGCACTTGGCTGTGCAGGGTGCTTTGATCTAGCAAGGGGGAGATCTTTTGCCCCGCCCCTTGGTATTATAAAAAGCTCTTTTGAAGAGACAGAAGGGGCCGGTGGATTTTGATCCAGGTCCTCCTGAAGCTATCCTGTGTTTCTCTCTGTCTCTTCTCTGCTGTCTTTCTATCTACAAGTTTCCTATTCCTCTCCTCTCCTCAGAGGAACCCTTTAAAAGGTGGGAGCTGGCCTCAGATCAATAGTACACATTTTGTTTTATAGTGTTCTTTTGTTAAATTGGATGCCATTATTTTAACAATCCTACATCATTTTTCATAATTGTAAAGATTTTATTGATAGTGTCATATGTATTAAACCCAAAACAGCTGGGTTGCAGTTGTTCTTGTTTTTGATATTTGGGCCTACAACAATTCCTTTGCTATTCTAACATTTGAGCTCAATATTGGTATATATTCTTAATTATTTAACAGTTTCTTTTATGATAATTGAGTAATATTTTATTAATGTTACAATTTCTCAGCTTCTTAAAAAGCTGGAAACAGGAGAAGAAGCAACCACAGAGAAACCCAAAGAAAGAGGTGACTCAGTTGGTCCTGGAGACGAGAAGCAGGAAGCCCGGCCAGTGGAAGGCCTGCCGGAGACGCCTGGGGAGAGGTGAGCATGCTCTCGTTCCCGTGACTGCCTCCTGCCCCCAGTCTGGAGTCACAGCGTCAGTACAAGTGGTGTGCTCTTCACATTGCCCTTGGAGTATGCTAGCATGTTTGTTTCTGTTGACCCTGCCAGGAGTTAGTAAGCATCCAGTCAGCAGTCTCGGTGGCTCTTCAAATGAGGAGCGGGTCCTGGGGCTTCCTTATATCACTTCTTGAGCGGCTTCCTTTTCCTCCATAAGACTTCCTTCCTGGACGTATGTCTCCAGGGTCTGCCTCTCAGTCTTTCTTTCTGTGTGGTTTGTTCCTGGTCACTGCTTCCCTCTGTGTTTCAAGGTTTCTCACACATTTGTATCCCAGCTCCCCTACAGTTAATCTGTGATTAAATCTCAGCTACCTACAACTACAAATTTCAGAGTCCCATCTTTTCGGGCTGGCCAGTTTGGGGTTTTTGTTTGTTTGTTTCTGTGGTGGAGCAGTAGGCCTTCAATAGTGTAATCCCCTCCTAGTTAGGTCTGTCTTTTGTTGGTCTTGCCTCTATCTTTACCTGCTCATGACACAGTTTCATGGGAAGAGCTCAGCCGTGGAGCTGGTAGGTGTAGCCCCCTGCCCTGACTACCACACCTGCCATACACACCTGGGCTTGCCCGACCTGGGGTTTCTACCACTCTTGGAGCATATCTCTACCCTTTGATTCGGGTTGGAGTACTTTAGTGTCATTGTTTATGGTATAGCCTGTTATTGTTGTCCTAAGTCCTCAATTGTCCCCATGCCTCCCATGTGGATAAGCCACAGAGGGGACATGGTGGTGGCTTGTACCCATGCTTCAGGGAGGCAAAGACTTCAAGAACCCCAAACCAAGTAGCCATGTGCTTGCTCACTATTCACTTAGCCTTTAGATGTGCCTAAGTCAGTCACCTGGCCTTATTAAACCTGAGTTCAGTCGGCTGTGCTTAGAGCAGACTAAAACTGCTGGGACTGTGTCGCCTGCACGTCTGGGAACCTAGGCTGTCACTCGTTTAGTTAAGCTGTAAAGTGGGGACCGCATTTACTCTGCGAGAGTTAGGACAGTGTGTCACATACCTCAGCATTATGTCATTGCGAACTTGTCGTTCAGATATAGTAGCAGATATATTTGTCCATCTTTCCATGTCCTTTATTAGATGCTTACTGTGAGCCCATGGTGCTAAACTCACCCCTGTAGTGATGGGCTCAGCTCCTATACACCCCTGTGGTGATGGGCTCAGGTCTGTGCACCCCTGTAGTTAAGGGCTCGAGTCTGTGAACCCCTGTAGTGATGGGCTCAGCTCTGTGCACCCCTGTGGTGATGGGCTCAGGTCTGTGCACCCCTGTAGTGATGGGCTCAGGTCTGTGCACCCCTGT